TGCAGGGGAATTACCCACCGCCCTGCGCTCCAGTCTGACGCTGACCCGCGCAGGGTGCCAGAAACAGTTTCTGTTCACTCCAACGTGTCACACTCAGCATCTGAAAACTCCCTCTCATGATCTGCTTTCTGCTTCTTACAGGAATCGCACAAAAAGAGCAAGAGGGCAGCTCACACAACACCTGATGTCAGTGAATAAAATATCCGATGCGTCATCCACCACCGAGGTGAGAGGACACGGATGAGAGTGACTTTTTGACAGCATGGGTTTTGGAATTGAGTGGGTAGAAACATGGCAGCATAACAAATCGCTGTATTACAGCTTCACTGGATCATCCATTACAGTACTACAGCGTCGCATGTCACAGGGGACAAAGAGCTGCCTGCACCCTGACGCTCATTCCTGTGGACAGCTGAAAGAAAAACTGCGCAGGGCGGGGGGAGAGAAATTAACAGTCCTCGCAGATCTGGGAAGCCGTCTCCCTCGTACCGCACAATAAAGCGAAACCACTCTTTTTCGTTTTCACTTCCCCCCGAAACGCACACATCTGTCGGGATCGGCTCCGGACACGTGGAGCCGGTGCGGGGCGGGTGAAGGAGGAGGAGGATTTCCGGGAAGAGCCAACGGGGCTGAGGAGAAGGCGGCAGGCCACGTGCCCGCCCGCCAGCGCCGTCACCGCGGCCGTGAGGCTCGCCTGACACGCAGGAGCGGCGCAGGAAGAGAGCGGCCCCGCTTCCTGCCTCGCTGGCCCGCCAGCCCCATCCCCGGCGAGAGAGGCAGGGAGACGGGGCCAGAGCCCAGGGCAGAGCCCCAGAGAGAGGGGAGTCAAGACTAGCGGACAAGCTGGAAAGCCTAAGACACCAGGGCTGTCCGTCTGAAGCCGGCTGCTCTCCTCTCACCCCCCCCCCTTCCCCTGCACAGTCTCCCCCTCTCCTGGAATTAAGGGTGAGGCTCAACGCTTCTCCTTTTCTGCCCTGTCAAGGCCAGGGTGCGAACTGGAGCACCCCGATCACCAGCTACAGCTCGTGCTCCAGGTCTGTCCACGCCCCCCAGGGTCCCTTTGTGCCCTACAGAGTGCAGGACACCTGCAGCCTGGCCTTGCGGAGCACTGCTCTGCTAACACCAGCCCTCAGGCAGCAGGAGAGCAAGAGGACGTCTGTCCCCGTGAGTCTCGGCCTCAGAATCACAGGTTGTTTGGGGCGGCAGATTGAAATTGGGCGGAGAGGTGGCTCTGTGGCTAAGGATCTGCGCCTGTGACTGGAAGGTTGCCGGTTCAAATCCCGCGGCCGGCAGAGGAATCCTACTCCGTTGGGCCTTAACCCCAACTGCTCCAGGGGCGCTGTACAATGGCTGACTCTGCGCTCTGACTCCAAGCTTCTCTCCCTGTCTGTGTGTCTGTGTCTCCATGGAGAAAAACTGGGGTATGCGAAAAGACGAATTCCTAATGCAAGAAATTGTATAGGGCTAATAAACATTATTAAAAAAAATGAACAGAAAAGACTCAGCTGCGGTTCACCCTCCTGCATCACTTCCTGCCTGGTGACCGAATCTGGGTGCAATGGTTGTGTGGGTTTAACCCCTCGCATCCTGACAAAGAACCTGCAGGGTTTCTAATTGCTAAACCCTCTGCTAAACCCGGGCACTCCCACTTTCAGCAGGGCTGCAGTTGCCACACTAGTTGCTAATTAAACATAGCAAATGCCCAAAAGGCAGAATTAGCAAATAAATAAGTCAGGGGGGATTAATAATGCATGGATCTCAAACAACATTGTTTAAACAGGTATTGGTGCAACAGAGCAGCACTGAGCCTTTTAAACCAGTTAGTCGAAGCTTTTCACATCGCCCGTTGAAGAGGAAAGGCCCAGTAAAACCAGCTTTGCACTTAGTCAATTTTCTGTCTGCTTGGTTATTAAAGAGCAGACGCTGCCACACAGAAATAGGAGACACCAGCTCCCAAGACTAGATCCTCTTGCTTTGCAGCACTAAATACAATCCAGCATGGGCAGATACGGGCCCCTGCCCTCCCCACACTTCAGATCTGGTGTCGAGTGTGATCCCGTTCTGAATTACAGACGCAACGAAATCCGTTTCAACGAACAAACAACTGCCACTGTACACTTCAAATTACCCTGAAAGTCCACCACGTGCGTCGCTAACAGGAACTCCTTTTTAAATCAGCTGTTGAGCACTTTAAAGATTTCGGTCACAAAACACGAGTATATGGCTAA